CAGCTTGGCAGCTGAGCAGAGCAGTAGTCAAAACATGAAGAAAATAATGTGTGTGAATGTTGATTATGTGGTGTGTATCTAAAAACATACAGGACATTCAGGGACATGTCCGAACAGTAAGCCTCGGAAAATGTTATGATTAAGATTACGGCTGAGCATATCATGCTACTAGCAATATTCATCCTGCCTGCAGACTCTGCAATCTAGCTGACCTTGCCCTAGATGCAGCCTGCAGAACTCATGACAATGAACTGAGCATTTAACAGCCTGAGCATAGACATCCTGGCTACACTAACATTTTCTAATACAACAGATCTCTAATCAATATCTATCTAACTAAGAAATTACCTAACAAGTCTATAAGACTCAAATCTTACATTTTTACCAGCAACGTTCAGATACAAACAACAAGGGACACATTCAAGAAAAAAGGTTGCATTAGCGCTGAGCATTGGTAGAAATAATTGAATATGGTGTATAAAATAGAGACTAGTTAACCTAAAATAAAAACAACAAGCAGGGTGTGAGAGATCTAAGTAAGAAGCATGAACAAGTCCAAGAGAGCGGAGAGCTTCAGGGCCTTTGTGTCCATCATGCACCGCAAAGATTTGTTGAATATATAGTTCATTCTTCCATTTGTTGGGGAGGAGAGGAGAGGACAGAGGGGGGAGGAGCTCTGCATCAATGGGACGACCCTCAGCCTAGGCCTATCACTAAGGGATGGTCCACCAAACCAAACTGATCCTAGAATGTATGTCCAATAATTTCATATTACTGGGGTTCTTGCAGCTTTGTTGTCCAGCAGGTCACATGTTTTAATAAGAGCTTTGGTAAACAGAGAGCATGTATCTGCTTTCCTTGAGTGACAGCTGGCACACTAGAGTGCAGATATTTCAATAAAAAGAAATGAACAAAAATAGCAATAACAACAAAAAAGGTCTGTCCATGACAAAATGCTAGACAACAAAATACGGCAGTGGGCTCTGGCTGCACACAAACAAAATGAAACAATTCAAAATGCCAAATAACCACCAAATATCTATGAAATGCTATATTCATATACTTTAAAGGAAACTTACATTCCACCAAAAGTTCACCAACTCCACGTCAAACACACTGGAGAGCACAATTAGCATGCTGCTGCTTTGCTAGCATCTGAGGATACAAGGGTCTGCGTCACACGTCCACAATCATGAGCTACCAGCAAAGCTTGAAGTGCAGCATCCTGACTGCTTCCTGTTCCTGTGATAATCGTACTCACTTCCTGTTTCCTGTGCCTGCACCATGTTGTGCTTGCTACCAGATTGCTTACGGATCAAGCTCACTATTTTCTAGGTCAACTAGCTCAGAAGCTACACGACCACAATCTCAAAGCCATCAGCACCATCGGCTTCAACAATGCAGCAACCTGTCAAGATGCTGGTAGATGACTTGTTTAGAGTATTAATACAGACAGTCTAATAAGGTTTGGACATATTTACTTACAGTTTTACTCCATGAGGTGAATAAAAAATCACTGCGCTCCATTCTTCTCCAGCTCAGTCCAAACAAGAAAGAAAGCCTATAATGCACTTGGCGGAGTTTTGGCGGAACAAACATATCTTGCTCTGCCATCTAGTGGCCAAAGTTCCTGAGGTGATATTAAACTCCGGCAGCCCACTTTCGGTTATTTTCACATTATAGCAACAAAATGAAACAGTGTTAGATTCACAGGAATACCATGAACGTTATATGAATACATCAACTTTAGGAACCTTTTACTTTAAGTGGAAAACTATTTAGTTCTTTACCTTTGCTTTGCCTATCACCCAGCTACAATATCTTCTATGTGTGACGTCCTTTGCACCCCAGTGGTCTGGATAGTTTGGAGTCTGTTAGGTTATTTCTTAGTTAGATAGATATGGATTAGAGATCTGTTGTATTAGAAGATGTTTAGTGCAGACAGGGTGACTAGTTTGATGTAACTATTAGCCTGCAGTAAAATTGCAGGCACGCCAAGGTTACAGGAAAAGAGCTTTTAGGGTCAACTGTAATGCTAGTCTTAATATTTGTCTTAAAGTGTAAGGTTATGTCCCATTGTTTAGATACACACCACGAAAACAACAGTCACGCACCTTGACTTTTCCTCATGTTTTGGCTAAATGATAGAGCAGCTGCAAGGCTTGCTTATCAGGTGACGTCACGGTTCGACAGCCCAGAAAGGATTAATATTGTATAGCAATGCTTGGTTCGAGGTCTTCCTGCTTCCGGGCTGCTTTGGCAGGCTGGGGGTTTGGAAGATCTCTGGACTGGAAGTGTGGATTCTTGCCTGTGACTTTTTGAATAAACCAGCACGGATATATTTTTTATATACTCAAGTGGTCTGAGTCGTCCCTCTGAGTTCCTGGTTTGAAAGAACCGGATGAGGCTTTATAATGGTTTTTAGCCTTTAAGTCCTATTCAGGTAACAATGCCATTCACTGGGTCTAGTGGCTTCCACCTCATTCTCTCCTAATCCATCTACCTAGATATCGGATTAATAAAGTCGCATGTGGCTGCACATTTTCTTCTAAGGTCATTCACCATTAATATAGTTCAGAACCTTTGTAAGGCCCCAGTTGTCATTCCAAAATTTGATCCATTCCAGAGCTTCATAAAAGATGTTTCTCTGACCCAGAATCTGACTAGTGTGTCCACATCTTTGTCACAAATGTTTTGTCTCGTCAGTTTAGTAACATGACACTGAATGAGAGATGACATGGTGAACACAAAATGCTGTATGTTCACATGTAGCTCTAACTTGTCTGTGTTTTAATAGGCGTTTTGTATTTACTCTAGACTGGGGTGACCTAATGATTAGTTTCCCAAAGGGAATCATTTTATCACCACATCTGGCTGCATGTGGCTTTGCTTTTCTAATCTCAAATCTTTTCATTAGGCCACAGCCACTGTGTTTATCTCTTGTCTATGTCCATACATTCTGTACACACTGTACCCACCATTGTTCACAGTTGTTTTAAATGTAATGAACTGTCATTAGTTATAACAGACATTTTGATCATTAGCCAGGTTTCATCCTAACAGGTGATAACAGAATGTCCTTGTTCCTTCAGACTCGCTGAGTCTTGCACAAACCCTCAGGACTTCACCACAGAAGGGTGCCTGTTGCCAGGCAAATGGGACCAAGAGGACACAGACCTCACTGCACAAAAGACACTTTTGGGTTCTAAAGTGAAGCCTCTGCCAAGAAGGGAAAAACTGAGAAAGTTAAAGCGAAATGGTGGAAAACTATGGTTGGAAACCAGAGAAGTGGCAAGAAAGACATTAGTGATATTAGTGGGGTTTCCCACCTTCTCTGTGCTGCCAAGTCCTCTCAGTGGTGCCGTCTAGTGGTTCTCTGATGCTTCTGCAACTATATGACCAGAGAAGGGCTACATGGGCAGGCAGCTGACAGAACAGGCCAAAGCAATGCAAACCACTCGGTCCCTTCTCTGTGGGAAAACATGCAGTCACTCAGTGTTTGTTACAGTCAGTGCTTTGCTTCCTCTTTTGTGTCTGTTAAGCCATCCACTGTTTGTAATGTGCTTGTGTACAGTACACTGCTTTAAACGTGTGTGTGAGAGGATGTACAGTGTATACATGTGCAAAGTGAGGTATGAGAACTATAATACAAGTTGAGTTTGGAACAGTTCATTGAGGTAAATTCAACATGGCTGCTGTCACATTTTCATTACTCAGAGGTGGAGAAATGTGACTGGATTAGATGGGGAAACTCACCAGTGCACCAGTTCTCATACTGGACAAAACAGTGAACCTACTACCTACGTGCTTCAAGGCTTCAGCCTTTTGTTGGCTGACAAAAGCTTTAAAAAGTGTGCATGTGTTGGTCAAAGACTGTGAAAAATGGATGAGAACTACTACCACTAGCCTCGGCTGTTCGCCCGTTAGGGGCCACAGCGAATCAACTGTTGGCATGTATACATTTGGCACACGTTTTACACCGGAGGCCCTTCCTGAAAAATGGATGAGAA